GAAAAGTGTGAAAATCTGTCGAATAGACAAGCTGTGTCGGCCCAAGTTCCACTTGGTTTCTACAAAATGACCTCAGCCCCATAAGGAGCTCCATATCCCTATAAATATGGCAGGGTATAAAACGACTGACCGAAGCAAGGCGATTTAGTCCAGCCTTATAATCACATCCCTTTCTTTCGCTGGTTTAATATGATTTCCATACGAAATTTCTAGGAATCGTAAAGGTTGAGTGGTTTCCAACGTCAAATAGAGAAACCGGAACTGTGCAGCCGCTCGCCAAGGTTTTTCAGCTGACCCTTGAGGTAGCACCGCCTCAGAGAGGCTTTTTCTGGGACACATCTTCGAAAGAAGTCCTCTTCTACATTAGCATTTGAAATTGAATCAAGTTGTTTTGAATTTACAAGTTTCTGTGAGTCCTATGTCGTGGGTGCTAAATCGGTCCCAATGACCAGTTCAGCTATTGCTTCAGCAAATAACTAAGGAATTGAGCAAACATACGAGAAACTCGTATGAGGAGACGTAACATGCGCCAGGCTGACCCCATTTGTCGGGCCCTCATATAAAACCTCGTCAAGGATCCAGTCTCTGTGAGTCTTGATACATGCGTATTTGTTTTGAAGCAGTCTGTTTGGCTATTCTATGCCACTATGTTGACTCCATGGCCAGCGAAACGGTAAGTACATTCAGTAGCTCTTCCTTCAGTACTTTTAGCTCCATCTTTTACTTGCGGGAAGTCATTTGCTTTCACTATAGGAGCTGAGTTTTCCTATCCCGTCATTTTGGAACTGTCATGAGCCTCGGCAAAGGGCCTTTATAGTAATGGCGCCCCATTTCCGAAAGTACCTTCTTCTCATGGAGTTTCTCTGGTCTGTCCCCGGTCCACTACAGTACATGAAGGATTAAGGGTAAAGTCTTGTCCGTTCGCTCCTTTCGTTCAATCCTCTGAGTCCGAGCAGCAATTTATCGAGAGTAGCAGGTTTTAATGCTAGATGGGGAAGCGATTCCGGGATGAAAACCCTCGAGAGCCGAGGCAAGTGTGATAACCCGCCTCCGTGCGCACTACACTCCTCCGCTTTCAATAGCGAAGGAATACTGACAAAAAGCGACTTCAACTTAAGAAAATGACTTCAAATTTTTAGAGAAGATAACGAGAATCTAAGCGCTGTTTACTAAAGCGGGCCGTCAACTCTGCCAGCATAAGGGCAATTATGAGCTTTGCAGATCCTTGGAATCGTTGTCAAAAATGCCACGGAAAATCGGGCGACCTTCCGGCAAAGGCCTCTGCCCTTACTTCACTGTTAGGAATGTGCCCCCTCCCATTTTTTCTCGCGACTAACCCTCAACATTTTTATCTTTTGCATTGGTTGCATTGTGCAAGCCATTTTTTGCCCGTGCAAGTTTGTTGGCCCTGGAGAGGTGGAGTGCTTATGGTTAGATGACCTGGTGTTATCAAAGCCATGGTTAGACCAAGGAACCTCGGAACCACTTGCCACTAAATCACCTTTCGAACTGTACTAGAGTTCATTCGCAGAGCATTCGGTATAGTACCCCCCTAAATGTAGAGCGAATATTGTCTCCAGCTCTAAAATTTGAATTAAACTCGCCGATAACATCACATTTTGGTTCTACTTTTCTACGGAAAAAAGTTTTATATCAATTCCAGACTGCTCTCATGGTGTACCCGACATCGTCGCCACCATCACAAGAGTCACCGTCTAGTGGTGTAGTCATTCGTGCTAAACGTCAATGGGGTGGATTTGGTTGCTGTCCTATGATGCCTCCTATGTGCTGTCCAATGCCTATGGTAGGCCTTTTTCTAATTTCATTTTCTTCTTCTAATTTCCAAACCTAGTAACTGAAAGATGATTCTGTTTGAAAGTGACCTTATGATATTTAAGGTTTTTTGCCGCTCAAATAGATGGTTTGGAGACAGGTGTATACTCAATTACTGGCCCATACGTAAGGTGCATCCCAGCAGTAGGGAGGGCGTGGCTGCGCCCTTAACTAGAGTGTGGCTATTGCTGTTCTTTTGGTGGGAGACCCAAACTGGAAAAGTTGGCATCAATCTTGAGCAGTGGGGTAGTAGAAGGCAAAAAGTGCCAAAAGTGACTCGATTCTTCATTTCAAAGCCAACACCCACCTGAATCAGTGGAAATGATGGGCTTTTTTAGAAAAGTCCTTTGATGAGCGTTACAAACCCATTTTCAGCAAAAATCCTTCAACATTCACAGAGAGAAAAACGAAACGAGACTGTTTGAAGGCCGGAACACCACTCTGTGATTTCCATCATGTTTTCCATCAGTCAGCCATTGGCATATTCCGGTTCATTAAAGAAACCCATTGCACCCTTTTCAGCAGCCATTTCAAATGCAAATTTTCGCACATGCATTCTCACAGCACTCATAGTCGCCATCCTATCAGAAATGCTGTTTCACTTAGGCGTTCTTCTCTAACACCGAGGCATACGTTCCTGGTCTCAGGGGAAGCTTAGCTTGACTTACGATTCACAAAAAGTGGTCTCGAGGCACGTTCTTCGAAATGATCGGTGCAATAGACAGGAGCGCTAACGGAGGGGGGGGGTACACTTTCGCGCTGCTGTACCTCCGACTTTCGGTACTTCCGATTTATATCAGGTTTACACAGAGCTCACTCTACGTGAAAACGCGATTCTTCACGTATCTAGAGGCAAGCCTCGTCCAGACCACATCGATAAAAAATTATGTCAACTACTTCGTTAAAGCTCCTCGCGCATGGTTCGACCGTCCGATGGGTAGTGGCCAACAAAGAGCAAACATGGCCCCCCCCTCACCCGAAACTGACCGCCGTAACATCAACTGGCCTTTGGGTGCAAGTAACTGACCTCGATAAGCAGCGGAATTCTGCCTACTTCCCGTTGATGTTTAGAGAAGGCATAGACCTCGCCATCCGCATTGGATTTTGCACGTCAGCGCTCAATATTTCTTTCTTCCTCCCCTCGCAGGTCCCTCGACTGCGCAGCTCTCAAACCGGTTTCTACGTTCTGTCCCACAAGTCTCTGTGTCAAGCCATACCGGAAACAGAGTCTTGATCTAAAGACGCTTACCGCGTCTCCTTTATATTTTCACCAGAAACTCCTTCGCCGTTATGAGCTTAATTTTTGCGGATCTGGCTATATCCCTGCAGTTGGACGATGGTGAAGTAATCACATGCTACACACCTGAAAGCCCTCCAGGATAAGCCCATGCTTTCGCACTAATTATGTGATAATTAGTGAGATGATACCTGGGAGGAGTATACTGCCAACATCCGCGCCTTAGCCCTGATTCAGCTCAGCGCTTTTCTGCCATGGTCCAGTGACAAACATGAACATATGAGGCTATGATCAGGGCACGTTGCACGTTGAGGATCCCCAGCAAAGGGGGGAGGGGTTTGCTCGCTCGAGGAAGATGAGGGGAAGAACTGGTCTTCGAGAAGAATGTTTTCAGCTTTTGACTATTCCCAATTTTTCTAGTTTCAAGTGTGCGCAAACCCCTCCTCCCGCTCGATCACAGCCTTCGAGGAAAAAGTGAGGAAAAGTTTCAGAACGTTGGGAAAATTTAGGAAGATGCTAGGTAGCGTGGGGGATGAGGAGGAGATCGTGCCAGAGGAAGAATTTTCGAAGAGGTGGTCGTGAACTGATAAAAAAATTTCCCCGGCAACAGAACGTGTCCTGCCTGTAATGTTCGTATAACATTATAACTCAGGTGCAAAGTGGCATTTGGCCTCGACACCACTGCTTCAGAAATGGCTATGAAGTCAAAAAATGAAAAAAATTTGCGAGAAAAAAGGCTGATTATTTTCTCACCAAGGTAGACTTTGAAGAGGTTACACTGCGCACTCCCTTCTTCAAAATGAAAACTTTTTTCCAGACTGATAATCTTTCAAACTAATGACAATTTCTTTACAGATGATGCTGCCTCCTTTACAGATGATGCTGCCTCCACCAATACCTCCACCGCTGTTCATGCCATCTTGCTGTTCGTGCTGTCTACCTGTGTGCATGCCGATCTGTATAACAGGGTTTGTGAACGTTTACCCTTCTGCTAAGCAGCTAGACAACCCAAATCATTTTTGCACGAGCAAGATGATCCACGACAACTCCTAAGCGATCAAAGTGGGGTGCAGGGAATGTTGTGGATGTTCTATCCATGTGCTACACTAACAGCGCACCTCCAGCGCTTTTCATACAAGCTAGAGTCTCCTTCCCTACGGATAGCTCGCGACTGGGATGGGTTTCGCGCACCTCCATCCCGTTTTTCTTTTTTCGGCACTATTTACTCTTTACTGCTCCAACCATCCCGCATTGAACCAGTTTTTGACCGACTTTTTTCTCCGTGGACAGATTTGGCTCAAATGTAGTTGGACCACCTGAATACGAATATCACATTCGGTTAGCCCGAAACTTCCTGGCGCCCGCGCCACAGGCGCCGGTGATTTGGAGTATTCTGGCGCCGCGCCTGTAGCCATAGGAGGTTTCGTGCCGAGCGGATGTGATATTCGTGTTCAGGAGGTCAGACTACCCCTGGGAACAAGTTTTCAGCGAATTTGGTGATTTAGGGTATTTTGGCGCGGGCGCCAGGAGGTTTCGCCGAGCGGATGTGATATTCATGTTCAGGAGGTCAAACTACCCCAGGGAACAAATTTTTAGCCAATTCTGCCAACGCAGAAAAAGTCGGTCAAAAACTGGCCTGTTTTTGGAAGATGGGGCAGTAAAGGGTGAATAGAGCCCTTTTTCTATCGGCAAGCGGCAAGACTGTGTCACTACATTCGCATCAGCTGTTTTCCTTCAACTGTTGTCCAGCTGGTGGAGAACTGGCTGGCGACGTACCAAACCCAAGCTAACACCCCATCATCCGCAGCGATCCAGACTGTACAAAATAAATGCGTACTAAATATCTCTGAAAGTCAACTTTTTCTCTTTCTTTTTGCTTATCATTTCGAACTCAGTGATCTCTTCTAGTGGTTGCGGATGTGGAGGCATGTTTGGCAGGAGAAAACGATCGGCGATAATTCCAGAGGAATCCGTAGCACTGCGTCTCACTGGGTCTCGTTGATATTGATGTTTCATTTTTTCGTTCCAATGCAA